GCGAGAGAGACAAAATCTTTCACCAGCAAAAATTGCCAAATTATATTGAAATCAGTTGAGGTTTGGATATAGCTAGCATATACATTTCGGCCGATTTCATACATATTATGCACCAAACACGATATATATGACCGATTCCAATGAAATTCAGAATGTGTGGCGGAATTTGGTTATAATAATAAATGTGGCAAATTAATTTGAAATTAGTTAAGATTTGGATATAGCTCCCATATATATATTCTCGGCCGATTTCACATATTTGACGCACCAATTTCAATTAGATATGAAAGGTGTGGCGGAGTTTGGTGTAAAAGTAATTTTTTTAAAATTATATTTAAATCGGATCAGATTGGGATATGATTTTAATAAGAACCATTGACCCACAACGCCTTAGGCTAACAGTAAAAAACAACACAACAATTTATTTGAAATACGCTTATTACGGCGAAGTATGTTGCTATCTCGAATTCACTAATTGCAATAGAAATGCCACCCTACTTAAAAAAATTGCAGTTTCCTGCACGCTTGCTATTTGCTATGAAATAAATAAATCCAAAGGACAAACCCTTCGTGTATGCATGTCATGTTACTGCTTTTGTAATGATTTTGTTTATTAACGCATTCAATTAGTGCAATATTTTTTTTTAATTTTTAAATTTGTTTTTCTTTATCCAACATATATTCGTAAATAAAAATTTGAATGCATATAAAATCAAAAGGGGTAGCGAAGCGCACCGGGTTCAGCTAGTGTAATAATAAACCCCATCATAATTTGGAGGATATTATAAATTTGTCATTTCCTTCACAGTTCGAAATAATCGTAAAGTCAATACATTCATGATTTTGGTATAGCCCACATATGTGATATCTCTTGACGTCTGTTATTTTTGAGGTTTCTGCTCAATTTATCAACCAAATCAGCTGTAATTTGACTTATCGGTTTTCTATTGCTATTTTAATTCCCTGAAAAATATCAAATATAAGTTGAATTTTGGTACCTCCTGGATTTCAGAATTTTGAAGGTTTCGGCATCAATTTCCAACGAAATTAGTTGTTATTTGATATTTTTTTTTGGGGTATTTGTGGAGAGGTCGATTAGACCAAAAAGCTCAACCCGATCGAACTTAATGTCGTCATTACTTGTTCCTACACGATAATATTAAAAATACAAATACTAATGTAAAATCTTTAATAAAATTCTCAAAATTCCGAATTTTAGGAGGAATAGTAATATGAGGACTATATGGACTATGAAATACTAAAATATAGCTATTGTTGATCAACACTTCAAAATACATGAAATTTGTGGTACCAATCTTCAAAATATATAAAATGAGGGCCAGTCTTTGTGCGTAGGCATGACAAAGTGCTGGGTTTCTGGAAATTCGTATAATTTTGATCAGTTTGGTTAAGGCTGGATGGTTTGTGAGAAAGAGGTGGTTTGGGAAATGGTTACTACAAGTGTATAAAAAGTACTAAATAGTACTATATTTGGTATTGGGTAAACAGATAGTGCTTGAAATCTGAAATTTGGTATTATGACTGAAGTTCATGTGTAGTCTGGACTTATAGAGGTGGTTTCGCAAATTTGTAATATAGTTGTATGGAAAGTACTGATTGATCTGTGTTTGAGATTTGGTGGTGGTTGGTAAATGCGTCCTATATTTGTACTAAATGGTACTAAATGTGGTATTGGGTGAGCGAATAAGTCGTAAATCCTTAAATAAAAATATATATGGGAGCTATATCCAAATCGGAACCGATCTCGATAAAATTTGGCAAAGATATTTCTGAGCTGTATTTGATATATTTCCCTGAATATCGTTGTTACGGATATGCACTCCGTAACGGCTGTTGGTAACAAATATGACAAATCGGATGAACAGTATATGTGGGAGCTATAGCTATATCTGAACCGATCTTCACAAAATTTGACGTACTAGCTTCTAGACCCAATTCGGTCGTAAGTGAAAAATTTCATCCAATTTGGGCAAATATTACACGTTTGGTGCACAATCAAAAGTAAATCGGACGAAGTTATGTATGGGAGCCATATCCAAATCTGAACCGATCTCGATAAAATTTAGCAAAATTATTTCTGAGCTGTATTTGATATATTTCCCCAAATATTGTTGTTACAGAGTGCGTATTACCGCTGCGGAGGACAAAAATAACAAATCGGATGAACAATATATATGGGACCTATAGCTATATCTGAACCGATTTCGATCAAATTTGGCATACTTCTTTTCAGGTCCAATCCATACTATTCAGGCTGATATTACACGTTTGGTGCACAATAAAAGGCAAATCGGACGAAGATATATATGGGAGCTATGTCTAAATTTTGACCGATTATCTCCAATTTCAGTGGTGTTCGTCCTTGGGCCAAATAAATGATTCGTGCAAAATTTCATCTGGATAGGGCAATAAATGCGAACTGTACTTTGTTTACAACATGGATAGACGGACATGCATAAATCGACTCAGAATGTGATTCTATGCAGATCATCAAAAGGAACTATGGGTCTATCTCGTTTCCTTTTGCCTGTTACAAACAAATGCACAAAGACATAATACCCTGACCACCTTGTGGTGTAGGGTATAAAAACATCAGCAGAAGTGGTTCGAAAAGTAATGAAGCGACTTGGTCGAAACCCGCGTCGCAGTGGACGAAAAATCAGCTGAAAATGTGCCGTGATGGTGTGGGCCGCCATAACAGTCGATGGTCGCTCTCCGCTCGTATTAATCGACCGTGGCATCAGATAAAAATGTCGAATATTATCGCGAAAATATTTAAATATCAATAAAAATTAAAAAAAAAATGTAAAAATTATGGCGTTTGACTTGGTTGCAGTTTTTTATCTCACCCTGTAAGTATTGGAAATTGTGACCCTCTGTGGGTGAGGTACCAGAAGAGGTTCGCAGATATATATCATCTTCACAACAGATCTTGTGCTAGAAAAAGGGTTGTATGTGTGAAATTTAAAGGGGGTAAGATGCTTATCTCGCTTTCATTGAGCGTTTTGTTTTTTAAAATTTTAAACTCCATGTGGGGGAGATACCAAAAGAAATTGTCCGATCTCTACCATTTTTATAACAGATCTTGTGTTAATGGAAATATTGAGATGTGCCAAGTCTGAATGGAATCGGATGTTAATTTCGTATTTTATGAGCTTCATGAATATTCAAAATGTTGACCCTTTGTGGAGGAGATACCAAAAGGAGTGAACCGATATATTACATCTTCACACCAGACATTGGGCAGATAAAAATATTGTAATGTGGGTCATTTGAAGAGAAACGGATATTACATCACACTTTATAAGAGTTGTAATTATTAAAAATGTTGACCCTTTTTGGGGGAAGTACTGGATGGAGTGGACCGATATTGCCCATTTTCGCACCTTACCTAGCACTGATTCAAATATTAGGATTTGGAGCAAAATCGAATTATCTTTCACTTTCTGTCCAGTAAAATAATTTTGCTTTTGAAAATTCTGACCTTTTGTGGGTGTGGTGTGGACCGATATTGCCCATCTCCGAACACGATCTAAGTTTGATAATAATATTACGATGTACCAAGTCCAGAGGTATCGTGCGCACCAGCCAGATAGACAGACGGACGGTCCTGAAACGGATTTGGTCCAAAGTATTTCGATGAGGCACATAGCCATATGGCTGAGATTATAAAAATTGGCCACCTCCATATCTAAATCTTAGAGACCAAAAGTAACAGCAATATCAAATTTAAGGATTCTAGCCATATCCCTATCAAATAGTAGTACCATTTAGTACTTTTCGTACCTCCATCCACCAACTTCATATCGTAACCACAGACATGAACCTTTATATCTCTATTAAAATTCAGGATTTCAGCTCCGAATCTGAACCGATCTTGATAAAATTTGGCATAGGTATTTGTGGGCTGTATCTGATATCTGGTACCAAATATTGCTGTCGAATGCATATTAAGAATGTGAGGGACCTAAACACCAAATCAGATGAAACATATATATGTGAGCCATAGCTATATCTGATCCGATTTACACCAAATTTGAAGTACTGGCTTCTAGGATGAATTCAGTCATAATGGCCAAAACTTAGTCCGTTTGGGCTAATATTAGCCATTTGATGTGCAATAAACCTGATATCGGATAAAGATGTATATGAGAGCTATATCCTAGTCTGAACCGATCCAGATAAAATTAGACAGAGGTATTTTCAAGCAGTATCTGATGTCCGGTACCAAATATCATTCTTGTGGAGTGCATATTACGCATGCGAGGGACTTAAAACCCCAAATTGGATGAAACATATATATGGGAGCTAAAGCTATATTTGAACCGATTTTCAGCAAACTTGAAGTACTTGCTTCTAGACTGAATTCGATGGGATGTACCACCAGGTCACTTGGACTTATATTAACCATTTGGTACACAATTAACCCGAAATCGAAATCTGATCCTGTTATCGCCAATTTCAATAGGGTTCGTCATTGGGCCAAATAAATATTGTTTGGAAAATTTCATCTCAATCGGATAATAGATGCGACCTGCATTTTGTTCACAAGAATACATGGACAGACGGAGGGACGGACTGACATGCATAACTCCACTCAGAAAGAGATTCCATTTAGGTCCACAAAAGTAACTATGGGTCTATCTCGCTTCCTTCTCCATGTTACAAGGAAATGCGCAAAGACATAATACCCTTACCACTATGTGGTGTAATGTATAAAAATTGAGGAAGAGGGCGGGACACATTTTCCCCCCTCTATTGAGGTTACATTGTGATGTAAACTTTTAAAAAGCCCATAAACGTGTCTTCTATTTTTAGCTCGGCTTTCATAATCTACAAGTTTTTTCCTGTAATTATAGTCTGCGTCTCACATTGATATTTCCAGTCCTGCTACAAATATAATTCTGTGATGAATCTTTCCTCCTCCCAAGTTACTTACCATTATCCTTGCTATCCTCTTAAAAAAACTCCTCTTCTTGTGTTAAAATTTCTCATTTTTATTTGACTCAAATTAGTTTCGAATTCATTACGGAATAACCTTAAATAATTAATAATTTTCTGGGCTTATTTGCTACACACGAATCCATTAATGAAATCAATCTTAATTTTTAAAACTGCTACAGAATACAATAATAATTAAAAAAAATAATAAATACAAAAACAAAGCAGAATATTTGTTGGGGTTTGGTCGGTCGGTTGTTGGTTGGTTGGTCGGCCGGTTTGATGCTGTTTGGCTGGCTAGCTATTTGGTATTATTGGCATTAACGGCCCAAGTGAAGTTGGACTTAAAATCTCTCTTCTGTTTTTAAAAAAATGGCAAACTTACTGAAAACGAAAGGTGGAACAAAAGGCAATCGCAGCGAATCGATTCGAATCGTATTGAATAGTGAACAACGTTAACGTGGCATCCGTGGAATAATACAAAGGAGCGATGTGAGTAAGTGAGTGGTTCGATGGTCCAGCCTACCGACGATTGATAATCAAATATGAAAATGGCTTCAAGGACACAATTGACTGGCTGACTGGATGGCTGGCTGACAAAATCAATTGAGGTTGATGGCATATTTCTTTTTCAGTGTGTATGTATGTGTGGATATCTGTATTTTTGTATGGATTCGAAAAAAAAAAACAGAAAAACATAAACTGATGGAAATGGATTTATGATGTTGATGCTGCTGCTGCTGAAATGGACTGGGAATATTCGAAAACAAAAAACATGAGCCGTCGTTTTCACAATTAATTGATTTTCTGTTCGGGTATGTATTAATTTCGAAACCGCCACGTTATCTCGTACACTCAGGTATTATGTATCTTCTCTATGTCATGGCCATTGCAATCGCTGTCACCGCCATCCTCAATGGTGCTGCCGCCATCATCGCCATCGTCGACCACATTGCCGCTGAACAAATGACGCAGGCAATTGCGCTTCACATAGAGGAAGGCGATCAGGGCACACACCAGGAACGCAATGCCAATGGTGCTGCCAATTAGGAGGGCTCGCATTTTACGATGTGATGGCACTTCAATGATCAACTCCGAGCCGGGCACTTGGGCGCCATCGTTCGAAATGGCCAACACTTGGATGGTGAATGTGGAGTCCTCCTTCAAGTGACGCAGCTGATAGAAGTTGTCAAAAGTTTCGACCGTGCCGACCAGATGATGTTCGGGCTCCTTCCACCAGCGTACCGTGTACAGGCGTAACGCATCGAGCCCATGAAGTGGATGTTCCCAGTGTAAGAGCCATCCTTGTTGGTTATTAATGGCACTTAAATTCCATGGAGCACTTAGGAAGCTACTGCTGCCGGCGCTGCTGCCAACACCGCCACCGCCACCACCACTTGGCGATTGGTAGTTAACACGTTGCTGGGATTGTTGCACAGACGACAAGTCGCCTTCGACATTGTCATCGTCCGATTCGGCAACTTTCGATGAGGCTGCAAAGGATAGAGACAGACAAACAAACAAACGCACAAATGAACCAATGGACAGGATATAAACGAAATAAATTAAACAAAAGGATAATACATATTGTCCTGGCAAAAAAAAAAGAAAGGAAACACTCGCACAGCCACACACAAAGAGTGTGGAACACTTAAACCCAACAAAGCTACTTCTGAGTGCCTCTGGCCAGCTTGAGTTCCGCAATATTTAATTAATATCTGCTGCCAGCGGCGGATTAAATATCTTAATTTTAATTTTCGAACTGGGAGGAGAATGAACGACCAGGTTATTTATTGATCTGGCGCTCAGGGATATACTCAGTGGCCAAGGAGAGAGACAAAAGGACTTCGGTGTACGGAAGAAGACCAATGGCATTTTCTATTAAAAATTCGAAAGGACTTCCACATGAAAAAGACAAATCGTCTCCTGCATAGGGAAGACCAACAGTCTTCTGTATAGGGAATACCACTGGTGTTCTATATGGGGAAGACCAATGGTCCTTTGTATAGAGAAGACCAGCGGTCTTCCGTATAGAGAAGACCAGCGGTCTTCCGTATAGAGAAGACCAGCGGTCTTCCGTATAGAGAAGACCAGCGGTCTTCCGCATAGAGAAGACCAGTGGTCTTCCCGATAGAGAAGACCAGTGGTCTTCCGCATAGAGAAGACCAGTGGTCTTCCGCATAGAGAAGACCAGTGGTCTTCCGCATAGAGAAGACCAGTGGTCTTCCGCATAGAGAAGACCAGTGGTCTTCCGCATAGAGAAGACCAGTGGTCTTCCGCATAGAGAAGACCAGTGGTCTTCCGTATAGAGAAGACCAGTGGTCTTCCGCATAGAGAAGACCAGCGGCCTTCCGTATAGAGAAGACCAGCGGTCTTCCGTATAGAGAAGACCAGCGGTCTTCCGTATAGAGAAGACCAGCGGTCTTCCGTAGAGAGAAGACCAGCGGTCTTCCGCATAGAGAAGACCAGTGGTCTTCCGCATAGAGAAGACCAGTGGTCTTCCGCATAGAGAAGACCAGTGGTCTTCCGCATAGAGAAGACCAGTGGTCTTCCGCATAGAGAAGACCAGTGGTCTTCCGCATAGAGAAGACCAGTGGTCTTCCCGATAGAGAAGACCAGTGGTCTTCCCGATAGAGAAGACCAGTGGTCTTCCCGATAGAGAAGACCAGTGGTCTTCCCGATAGAGAAGACCAGTGGTCTTCCCGATAGAGAAGACCAGTTATCTTCCCGATAGAGAAGACCAGTGGTCTTCCGTATAGAGAGGACTAGTGGTCTTCCGTATAGAGAAGACCAGTGGTCTTCCGTATAGAGAAGACCAGTGGTCTTCCGTATAGAGAAGACCAGCCGTCTTCCGTATAGAGAAGACCAGCCGTCTTCCGTATAGAGAAGACCAGCCGTCTTCCGTATAGAGAAGACCAATGGTCTTCAGTATAGGGAAGACCAGTGGTCTTCAGTATAGGTAGTCTTCCACACAGAGAAGATCAGCAGTCTTCAGTATAGAGAAGACCAGTGGTCTTCCCGATAGAGAAGATCAGTGGTCTTCCTGATAGATAAGACCAGGGGTCTTCCTGATAGATAAGACCAGTGGTCTTCCCGATAGAGAAGACCAGTGGTCTTCCGAATAGAGAAGACCAGTGGTCTTCCGTATAGAGAAGACCAGTGGTCTTCCGTATAGAGAAGACCAGTGGTCTTCCGTATAGAGAAGACCAGTGGTCTTCCGTATAGAGAAGACCAGTGGTCTTCCGCATAGAGAAGACCAGTGGTCTTCCGCATAGAGAAGACCAGTGGTCTTCCGCATAGAGAAGACCAGTGGTCTTCCGCATAGAGAAGACCAGTGGTCTTCCGCATAGAGAAGACCAGTGGTCTTCCGCATAGAGAAGACCAGTGGTCTTCCGCATAGAGAAGACCAGTGGTCTTCCGCATAGAGAAGACCAGTGGTCTTCCGCATAGAGAAGACCAGTGGTCTTCCCGATAGAGAAGACCAGTGGTCTTCCCGATAGAGAAGACCAGTGGTCTTCCCGATATAGAAGACCAGTGGTCTTCCGTATAGAGAGGACTAGTGGTCTTCCGCATAGAGAAGACCAGTGGTCTTCCGCATAGAGAAGACCAGTGGTCTTCCCGATAGAGAAGACCAGTGGTCTTCCCGATAGAGAAGATCAGTGGTCTTCCTGATAGATAAGACCAGGGGTCTTCCTGATAGATAAGACCAGTGGTCTTCCCGATAGAGAAGACCAGTGGTCTTCCGATAGAGAAGACCAGTGGTCTTCCGTATAGAGAAGACCAGTGGTCTTCCGTATAGAGAAGACCAGTGGTCTTCCGTATAGAGAAGACCAGTGGTCTTCCGTATAGAGAAGACCAGTGGTCTTCCGTATAGAGAAGACCAGTGGTCTTCCGTATAGAGAAGACCAGTGGTCTTCCGTATAGAGAAGACCAGTGGTCTTCCGTATAGAGAAGACCAGTGGTCTTCCGTATAGAGAAGACCAGTGGTCTTCCGTATAGAGAAGACCAGCCGTCTTCCGTATAGAGAAGACCAATGGTCTTCAGTATAGGGAAGACCAGTGGTCTTCAGTATAGGGAAGACCAGTGGTCTTCAGTATAGGGAAGACCAATGGTCTTCTGTATGGGGAAGCTCAGTAGTCTTCCACACAGAGAAGATCAGCAGTCTTCAGTATAGAGAAGACCAGTGGTCTTCAGTATAGAGAAGACCAGTGGTCTTCAGTATAGAGAAGACCAGTGGTCTTCCGTATAGAGAAGACCAGTGGTCTTCCGTATAGAGAAGACCAGTGGTCTTCCGTATAGAGAAGACCAGTGGTCTTCCGTATAGAGAAGACCAGTGGTCTTCCCGATAGAGAAGACGAGTGGTCTTCCGTATAGAGAAGGCCAGTGGTCTTCCGTATAGAGAAGGCCAGTGGTCTTCCGTATAGAAAAGACCAGTGGTCTTCCGCATAGAAAAGACCAGTGGTCTTCCGCATAGAGAAGATCAGTGGTCTTCCTGATAGATAAGACCAGGGGTCTTCCTGATAGATAAGACCAGTGGTCTTCCCGATAGAGAAGACCAGTGGTCTTCCGAATAGAGAAGACCAGTGGTCTTCCGTATAGAGAAGACCAGTGGTCTTCCGTATAGAGAAGACCAGTGGTCTTCCGTATAGAGAAGACCAGTGGTCTTCCGTATAGAGAAGACCAGCCGTCTTCCGTATAGAGAAGACCAGCCGTCTTCCGTATAGAGAAGACCAGCCGTCTTCCGTATAGAGAAGACCAGCCGTCTTCCGTATAGAGAAGACCAATGGTCTTCAGTATAGGGAAGACCAGTGGTCTTCAGTATAGGGAAGACCAATGGTCTTCTGTATGGGGAAGCTCAGTAGTCTTCCACACAGAGAAGATCAGCAGTCTTCAGTATAGAGAAGACCAATGGTCTTCAGTATAGAGAAGACCAGTGGTCTTCAGTATAGAGAAGACCAGTGGTCTTCCATATAGAGAAGACCAGTGGTCTTCCGTATAGAGAAGACCAGTGGTCTTCCGTATAGAGAAGACCAGTGGTCTTCCCGATAGAGAAGACGAGTGGTCCTCCGTATAGAGAATGCCAGTGGTCTTCCGTATAGAGAAGGCCAGTGGTCTTCCGTATAGAAAAGACCAGTGGTCTTCCGCATAGAAAAGACCAGTGGTCTTCCGCATAGAAAAGACCAGTGGTCTTCCGCATAGAGAAGATCAGTGGTCTTCCTGATAGATAAGACCAGGGGTCTTCCTGATAGATAAGACCAGTGGTCTTCCCGATAGAGAAGACCAGTGGTCTTCCGAATAGAGAAGACCAGTGGTCTTCCGTATAGAGAAGACCAGTGGTCTTCCGTATAGAGAAGACCAGTGGTCTTCCGTATAGAGAAGACCAGCCGTCTTCCGTATAGAGAAGACCAATGGTCTTCAGTATAGGGAAGACCAGTGGTCTTCAGTATAGGGAAGACCAATGGTCTTCTGTATGGGGAAGCTCAGTGGTCTTCCACATAGAGAAGACCAGCAGTCTTCAGTATAGAGAAGACCAGTGGTCTTCAGTATAGAGAAGACCAGCAGTCTTCAGTATAGAGAAGACCAGTGGTCTTCAGTATAGAGAAGACCAGTGGTCTTCAGTATAGAGAAGACCAGTGGTCTTCAGTATAGAGAAGACCAGTGGTCTTCCGTATAGAGAAGACCAGTGGTCTTCCGTATAGAGAAGACCAGTGGTCTTCCCGATAGAGAAGACGAGTGGTCTTCCGTATAGAGAAGGCCAGTGGTCTTCCGTATAGAAAAGACCAGTGGTCTTCCGCATAGAAAAGACCAGTGGTCTTCCGCATAGAAAAGACCAGTGGTCTTCCGCATAGAGAAGACCAGTGGTCTATAGTAAGAGGACCAATGTTCTTCTATAGGAAGAAGACTAATGGTCTTCTCTATGTAAAGAAGATCGTTGGCCTTCTAAGTGCCTAAAATCCCCATTTATGCTTTTATCTTTGCTACAAACTTACGTTGTGTTGGATATCGAAAGGGTTTGCTGAACATGCCGTCGCCATATTTATCCTGGCTCAATACCATAAATTCATATTCGCGACCGGGCAACAAATGCGGAATGGTGGCCTCCATGACATGCTTTTGGACGATACGCATTGTACGCCATTCCTGGGCATCCGTTAGACGATACCAGACCGTGTATTCGAGATTGGGACGCAAATATCCTGTAAATGTAATAAAGAGAGGGAGTTAGAGAGAGAGGGGAGATGAGGTAAAAACTCAAACAAAATGTGACAATAAAGAGGGGATACAACCAGGTCCTAACTCCTCTGCACACATGCCGAAGTGCAACAAAATCCAATACTTTTTCTTCTATGTGTCTGGCATTGTGTATGGGTGTGTGTGTGTGCGTGTGGTGTAAATAAAGTGAAAATGTTTTCCTCTCCATACATATTTGTTTTCCTTTTTTTTTGCTGTAGTTGTTGTTGCAATAATTGTTGTTTATGAAATGAAAATGAAATGCATGCCGTGCGGAGGTGTAGCCGTAATTGTTCTGTGATGTTATTGCCATCGACGATGAAGTGTGAATATTGCTGACGGTGGGGTTCGAGGGGAAGTGGGTGTTGCATCAATGGAATCTCAGTTATGTGTTTTTTAATAAATATAAGTAAATTGTAATTATTGCATAACGCTTGTTTAATATTTTTTTCTTAATTTCACATTTGTTTGGGAAAATTTTTATTTTCAATTTTTGTGCTTACGATCTTTGGGTGGAGAATATACTCAGTATGTCATGAGATTTGAAACAGCTTGGAGTGATTGGTGGAGTTTCAACGATTATTAGGCAGGTAGCAAATCTACAATCGCGATTATATGGTCAATGATGAATTGCTTTCTGGGTCTAAATTCGGTATTGACTGCCTGCAAGTCCTTCTCATGGATGTGTGCGTACGTGTATAGCAAAGTTTTTTTATACTCTTCATTATAGTATGGAGGGTATATTAAGTTTGTCATTCGGTTTGTATCACCTCGAAATATACATTTTAGACCCCACAAAGTACATATTTTCTTCATCAGCATAAAATTCTATGTCGATTTAGAGATGTCCGTCCGTATGTCCGTCTGTGGAAATCACTTTAGCCTCCGAACGAATTGAAGTAGATTGATAAAACTTTTCTCAAATGTATATTATGTCTGCAGGACTTTTGGTATTGAAAATGGGCCATCCAGGTCCACGTTTTTGGTATAGCCCCCATATAACGGTACCTCCCGATATTCGGTATTTTAATGATTTTAGCGACATTATTCACCGGAATTGTTTCAAATTTTGTATTTGAAGTTCGTAATGGATACTACCACCTATGACAGAAAATTGTCTATGCAGGTCCACGTCTTCGTATAGCCCCATATAACGGTACCTCCGGATATTCGATTCTTTGTTGATTTTAGCGACATTATTCACCGGAATTCTTTCAAATTTAGTATTTGAAGTTTAAAATGAATACCACAGCCTATGACAGAAAATTGTCTATGCAGGTCCGCGTCTTCGTATAGCCCCCATATAACGGTACCACCCGATATTCGGTATTTTGATGATTTTACCTGCATTATTCACCTGTCTTTAAATTTCGCATTTGAATATTGTAATGGCTCATGACAAAATTACCTATGCAGGTCAGCTACATTCGGTATTTTTAAGATTTTAACAGTATTTTTAATGGATTTTATTTTTTTGAAAATTGCCAAATTTGTACCAAATGCTGGAGGGTATTCAAAGTACGCCCCGGCCTAACTTACAACTTTTTTACTTGTTTGAAATGAAATTCGGTATTGTTTGCTTTTTTTATCCCCAGACACTAGGAGTGATCCTCAGGTCAAATTACGGTATTCTAGTTATATTATATGGACGTGTGCATTCCTGTTTAGCATCGTTAGACAGGTCTAAATACAAAGCTTTCGAATTCTTACTGTGAATATAGAATTTAAGAGGTTGAGACCACAGACTCGTTTCATCACTTCAACCTACTGGCTAAGCCTCCTAACACCCTCTTGCCTCATTTTGGACGGAGACTTACTAGGATTGCATACAGAGGAATCAGAGTAAATAAAATTCTGTTTTTATACCCTACACCACATAGTGGTAAGGGTATTATGTCTTTGTGCATTTGTTTGTAACATGGAGAAGGAAACGAGATAGACCCATAGTTACTTTTGAGAACCTTCATAGAATCACTTTCTGAGTCGATTTATGCATGTCAGTCCGTCTGTCCGTCCGTCCGTCCGTCTGTCCATGTATTCTTGTGAACAAAATGCAGGTCGCATTTATTATCCGATTAAGATGAAATTTTCCAAACAATATTATTTTGGCCCAAGGACGAACCCTATTGAAATTGGTAAGAATCGGATCAAATTTAGATATAGCTCCCATATATATCTTCATCCGATTTCGGGTTAAATGTGCACCAAATGTCCACTATCAGTCCAAATTACCTGAATTTTGGCACACCCAACCGAGTTCGGCCTAGAAGCAAGTATATCAAATTTGGAGAAAATCGGTTCAGATATAGCTATAGCTCCCATATATATCTTTCATCCGATTTGGTGTTTAAGCCTCTCACATTCGTAATATGCACTCCACAAGAATGATATTTGGTACCAGATATAAGATACAGCCCAGAAATAGCTGTTTGTAATTTTATCGAAATCGGTTCAGATTTGGATATAACTCCCATATATATCTTCATCCGATTTCGGGTTAATTGTGCACCAAATGGCTGATATAAGTCCAAATGGACTGAATTTTAGTACATCGGACCAAATTCAGCCTAGAAGCAAGTATATCAAATTTAGTGAAAATCGGTTCAGATATAGATATAGCAACCATATATATGTTTCATCCGATTTAGAGTTTTAGTCCCATACATTCGTAATATTCACTCCACAACCGTGATATTTGGTACCAGGTATTAGATGGAGCACAGGAATAGCTGTTTTAAATTTCATCGAAATCGGTTCAGATTTGGATATAGCTCTCATATATATCTTCATCCGATTTCGGGTTAAATGTGCACTAAATGGTCAATATCAGCCCAAATCACCAGTCTAGAAGCTAATACGTAAAATTTGGAGAAACCCGGTTCATAGATAGCTACAGTTCGTAAAATGCACGATAGAATTAGATAGATTTTGATTTTGTACCAAATATCTCATAGAGCTCTGAAATGCCCTGTATAAACCTTTTTACGAGAGCTCTACTAAATATGCATAGTGGTGTAGGGTATCATATAGTCGGCCCCGCCCGACTTTTGAGCTTTCCTTACTGGTTATTATTTTGGACAGGATCTTCATAGGGAAGCATTTGAAGTATTTGTTGAAAAGCATTCTCAGAATAAGAAGAGCCCCATCTAAGGTTTTTTTATCACACCATGGTGTAGGGTCTAAAGAAATCTGTGTTGCTGCAAATTGTTCAAATGACATTTTTTAACACAATTATCTTCTTGTTGCTGAGTTGTTTTTTTTTTTTTGTTTATGCCCACTACTTTGTAGATTATAATTTACACCTTTAATAATGCAAAGTCCACATTACCAAAAAATGCATTTCATTAAAAAACTTGATAATGGCCTGGTGATACTATCATTGGGATAGTCTTTTGAAAGTTCAATTTATTAATAAATGATTATTATTTTCACAGGAAATTCATGAAAACAATGAATGAATGAATTAAATTTGAGATTATTGTACGCGATTGATTATTGGCTATCAGCAAAAACTATAATAAATAAATACCCATAAAAAATATTAAGAAATCATGATGGTTATAAAGGTTTCCACAATATCCCTAAAAATTTATACTAAAACCAGTAAAAAAGTCTTAAAGTCGGGCGGGACCGACTTTATGATACCCTACACCACTTTGCTAATTTAGTAGAGTTCCGCATAACAATTAAAAGTTTTTATGGAAGAATTCACGCTATGATTATAATTATAATTTAAAGTTCAAAGGACTAAATATGCCGAAGCATTTGTATCTTTTAAATTCGGACTTGTGTTGCCAATTTGGTGCACAATTATTTTGAAATCGAATAAAAGTATATATGGGAGCTATATCCAAATCGGAACCGATTTCGATAAAATTTGGCAAAGATATTTCTGAGCTGTATTTGATATTTTTTTCGTGAATATCGTTGCTCCGGAGTGCATATTACGGTTGTGGGTAACAAATATAACAAATAGGATGAATATTATATATGGAAGCTATAGCTATATCTGAACCGATCTTCACCAAATTTGAGATACTAGCTTTTAGACTCAATTCGGTCGTAAGTGCCAAATTCCATCCCATTTGGACAAACATTAGACATTTGGTGCACAATAAAAGGTAAATCGGACGAAGTTATATATGGGAGCTATATCCAAATCAGAACCGATCTCGATAAAATTTAGCAAATGTATTTCTGAGCTGTATTTGATATATTTCCCCAAATATTGTTGTTGCATAGTGCATATTACTGCGGCGGTGGACAAAAATAACAAATCGGAGGAACAATATATCTAGGAGCTATAGCTATATCTGAACCGATTTCGATCAAATTTGGCATACATATTTTCAGGCCTAATTTGGGTGTATATGCAAAATTTCATACAATTCGGGCGGATATTACACGTTTGGTGCACAATAAAAGGCAAATCGGACGAAGATATATATGGGAGCTATATCTAAATTTTGACCGATTATCTCCAATTTCAATAGGGTTCGTCCTTGGGCCAAACAAATGGTCTGTGCAAAATTTCATCTATATCGGGCAATAAATGCGACCTGTACTTTGTTTACAAAAATACATGGACAGACGGACAGACGGACGGACAGGCAGACGGACGGACGGACATGCATAAATCGACTCAGAATGTGATTCTATGCAGATCATCAAAATGAACTATGGGTCTATCTCGCTTCCTTCTGCCTGTTACAAACAAATGCACAAAGACATAATACCCTGACCACCTTGTGGTGTAATATGTATGCCAAATTTGATCGAAATCGGTTCAGATATAGCTATAGCTCCTAGATATATTGTTCATCCGATTTGTTATTTTTGTCCACCGCCGCAGTAATATGCACTATGCAACAACAATATTTGGGAAATATTGAAAGAATACATTTGCTAAATTTTATCGAGATCGGTTCAGATTTGGATATAGCTCCCATATATAACTTCGTCCGAT